ATCTGCCCAGAACAAAGATTGAATTTCCCCTTCATTTCTATAGAGGGCCCTTTCTCCGGCCAGCCCTCGTCCAGTGTGTGTGTGTGTGTGTGTGTGTGTGTGTGTATGTACATACATGTGAGTACAGGTGTTGTAGAGACCAAAGTGGAGCTCGTGGAGCTAGCGTACAGGAATGTGTGAGCTACCCATCATCCACACTGGAAACTGAACTCAGTCCTCTGCAAGCACACACCGCACACGCCGCACACACCGCACACACCGCACACACCGCACACACCGCACACGCTCTCAACCGCTGAGCCACCTCTCCAGCCCCACTAGGCCTCCTTACAAATACAGTTCAGGCACCAGACATGGCATCCATCACACGCCTTTCATCTCAGCACTCAGGAGGCAGAGGCAAATGCTGTTTGGTCCACAGTCTACACTGGGATTTCTAGGCCAGCCAGAACTACAGTGAGACCCTGTCTCAAAAACCAACCAACCTCAGGACACAAATCCCCAACAGCCGAGCCAGTTTCTGCTCGTCGGAGGTCCTTTGGGTTGGTTCAGCTTGGGCATTCATCACATTCTCTTTGTCAACTACCTGTCCTGTCCTCTTCCTTCCTGGAAAACAAGCTCCCCGAGGGCCGTTTCCTGAGCATTATCAAATCCCAATCAGTGCATGCTTAATGCAGAGACTTCTATAAAACTATTTCTGTAGCCTTGTGTAGACATGATGTGTATGTGTGTGTGAGGGTGTACATGCGCCATAGCACACATGTCACAGCATGTGTATGGAGGGCAGGCAGGCGTCAGTCTTCACCTTCTACTACACTTCATGCTCCAGGCCAGCAGGAGTTCCGGAGCAGTCTCCTGTCATTGCCTCCCATCTCCTCATGGAGTGTTTGGATCACAGTTACATGCCACCAAGTCTGTATTTAACATGGGTTCCAGAAACCTGAACTCAGGGCCTCGGGTTTGTACTTCTTAAATCATCATCCCAGCCCTCAATACAGAATCTTAATTGAAACTGAACTAATTTAAATAAAATCTAAACAAATAACAACTCTTATTTCAGCACATTTGTTTGGGGAGGGGGCGCATGGGAACCACAGCATGCACATAGAGTCAGAGGATACTTCGAGGACTTTGATCTCTCTTTCCAACATGTGGATCCTGTAGAGGGGCCCCCAAAACACCGTGACCACACAGCTGCCATGACAGGCTTAGAAGCCCAGACACAGCTTCTGTGACAGGCTTACTGGCAGGCAACACCCAGACCCAGGAAAAGCCATAAGCTGACCTCACCCAAGGAGGGCCTACATCTAAGGGGAAGTACCTGACATCCCAAACATTCCAACCACTGGATAAGGTGGCCAGATGTCCGTGAGTCTAGCACACACCTATTTCTGTTTTACAGATACCCCTAGACAATTGTCAGCCAATCAGGGTCCTGAACCCTGGAAATTCCCTCACCCCAACCTCTGCTATGATAAAAACTCTGCCCCACCTGAGCTCAGAGCTCTGTGTTCTCACCACTGTGTCGGACAGACAGAGGGACCAAGCCCTGGAGCTTAAAGGGAATAAATAAAGGTCTTGTCTTTTACATGTGAGATTCAGCCTCCGTGGTGATCTTTTGGTCCCCGCAATCTGGGCATAAGAGATCGCAGAAATCAAACTCAGGTCCTCAGGCTTGGCAGCAAATCCCTTCACCTGCTGAGCCAGCTCTTCAACCCACTAAGAGTAACTCTTGTTTTGGGTTTGGGTTTTGGTTTTTCAAGACAGGGTTTCTCTGTGTAACAGTCCTGCCTGCCCTAGAACTTGCTCTATAGACCAGCCTGGCCTCGAACTCACAGAGATCCATTTGCCTCTGCCTCCCAAGTGCTGGGATTAAAGGCGTGCGCCACCACCTGGCTAACAGTAACTCTTAATTCTGGGTTGTCGACTCAAAGTGTATAGCATATACTGCTATAATTAAGTAATGCTCCCTTTCTATTTTGAGGTTTGAGTCCAGGGCCTCGTCTATGCTAAGCCAGGATAGTAACACTGAGCTGTACTCTTGTGTAACACGAATCTATGGTCTTATTAAATCAAACCTAAGGCCAGTTATTGTGGTGAATGCTGGAAGATCAGAGAAGCAGAACAAGCCACAGCCACCTCACCTCACCAGTTCCTCAGCTGATCCTGTTTCCTCAGACTGGAAACCTCTGAGTCCTCATCCAGAATGAATCTCAGCTAAACTGTGCTGCTCAAGAGCCTAAAAACTTAACCAGCCAAAAGCTTCTAGTTTATGGTCTTCACGCCTTATATACCTTTCTGCTTTCTGCCATCACTCCCTGGGATTAAAGACTTGAGTCACCATGCTTGGCTGTATCCTTGAACACACAGAGATCCAGGTAGATTTCTGCCTCTGGAATGCTAGGATTAAAGGCATGTGCTACCACTGCCTATCCTCTATGTTTGTTCTGGCTGTTTGTTCTCTGACTCCAGATAAGTTTATTTAGCATGCACAATATTTCGGGGGACACAATACTACCACACTCTTGGACCTTAAATAATTCTTAAAAAGCACTAAATTGGTACTTTGCAAAGTCTATATAATTACTTCTTACAGTCATAGTTAAATACCAAAAGAAAGTTGCATAAATTGGAAGCTTTACCGTTTTTTGAAGGGTTGGGGGTTGGGGTGATTTGGTAGTATAATACTCGCCTGGGTTATTCAGAGCCCAGCATCACAAAACGGTGGTGGCGGGAAATACTATTAGATTTCCTAATCACATTCATGATGAGAAAAAGCTAGAACTAAGCTCTACTGTTTCATACAAGACAAAAAAAAATACTTCTTAAAAAAGCTGGGAGTGGTGGTGGCTCACACCTTTGTATCTCCCCCAGCACTCAGGAGACAGGCGGGAGGATCTCTGAGTTCAAGGCAGTTTGTCAATTCCAGCATAGCCTGGGCTACACAGGAAACCCTCTCTCAAAAAAACAAAAAAAGAGAACAAACAAAAAGATTGGGCATGGTGGAACTGTGATTGAGAACAGACAAGAGTCACATTCCACAGCAAACACATCTAAATATTGGGATTCAGAAGTGAGAAACACGGGATACATGTAAAACCTTAATTTTTCTTTAAGTTGCCAGGTATGGTTGGTTGTATTACCTGCATCACAGCAGGAGGCAGAAGCAGGATGTTGTCACAAGTTCACAGGCCAACCTGGTCTGCAGTGAGTCCCAGGCCAGCCAGGAATACATGTAGGAAGGACTCTGCCTCAGAACAACATAAAAATCCTTCTTGATGCTATGTTCTGATATTAATTACATGGCTACAGCTCACTATTAGAGGAAAACAGACAAGCTTTTAGGGAATGTAGCCACAAAACAGGACAAGAGCTCAAGTTCAGCCTGGTCTACAGGGCAAGTCCAGGACAGTCTGATCTACAGAGCCGAACTCCAGGATAGCCTGGCCTACAAAGCAAGCTCCAGGACAGCCTGGGCTACATAAAGATTCTGTCTCAAAATACAAACAAACAAAAGATCTGAACTCTTTTCTCTTTGGGGCATCGTGTCCCCTGTGTGGCACCTCTCCAGGTCACTACCCTTCCTTGAATTCTGTTTCAAAGGTGCGATCACTTCACTGCACAGCATCTGTCCCTATTGCCATTGTAATTTTATATTCCACCACCTTTAAAGCACAGAGACCTACCAATGTCCAACTACTCTTTTTTTTTTTTTTTTGGTTTTTCGAGACAGGGTTTCTCTGTGTAGCTTTGCGCCTTTCCTGGAACTTGGTAGCCCAGGCTGGCCTCGAACTCACAGAGATCCGCCTGGCTCTGCCTCCCGAGTGCTGGGATTAAAGGCGTGCGCCACCACCGCCTGGCCAACTATTCTTTTAAATTGACTTTTTTTAAAGATTTATTTATTTATTATATATAGAGTGTTCTGTTTGCATGCACCCCTGCAGGCCAGAAGAGGGCGCCAGATCTCATTACAGATGATTGTGAGCCACCATGTGGTTGCTGGGAATTGAACTCAGGACCTCTGGAAGAGCAGTCAGTGCTCTTAACCTCTGAGCCATCTCTCCAGCCCCCCAACTATTCTTTTAAACTGGAACGAATGTGGACTTTGGGGAGCTCCGCTCAGGCCAGCTCCTCCCATTCCAGACCCGCCCCCCACAAAGCCCGCCAAGGGGCGGCTCCTCCCCCTGAGATGCTTGAGACCACGCCTACAGGCTATTTAAGAGGGCCCATAGCCTTGCCATGTGGTTTCTCCTCTTCCCCTGGGACCACCTGGGAACGTTCTGCTCAGATTAAATCTGGACTTTAATTCGGCCTGATCTGATTCACTGCATCGGAGGAGTTACACACACACCCGGGGTGGGGGTGGGGGTTACTTATCAGTAAGTTCTTGTAATATCAGTTTTCTAATAAATTAATACAGACGAGAATATTTACTTATCCAGGGGTGGCCACTATTGTGCTAAACTCAGTCTCCTACTTCAGCCTTTAAACTTCTAGGTTTTCTTTTACTTGAACTTTTAGAAATGAATTCGAGCAGGAGAGATGGCTCCGGGGTTAAAAACACTGGCTGTCCTTCCAGAGGACCCAGGTTCAATTCCCAACACACACATGGCAGCCCACAATTGTCTATAATTCCACTGTCAGGAGATCTGACTCCCTCAAACATGTAAAACACCAATGCACATTAAAAAAATAAACAACTTTTAAAAAAGAATAAAATGAATTAGAGTTTAATTGATCAAGAAAAAATAAATCTAGCTAATTAGAATATACTAATTTTAATGTAGTAAAATTTCACTGAAGATGAAAATATATCAACCGATATGACTGAAAGAGAAAACTGCCCTTCTCCCAAAAATATAAAGTCATAATCAAGTGCAAACCAAAATAATTTAAAAAGAAAGTGCTTACCAAATACTTGGTATGTGCCCAAGACTCCTCAAAAGGCAAGTGTACCAAAAACTTCACATTATGAATTTAAATTAATGCAGTGGCCTTACCTGACTTATGAGAAAGGTTAGGGGCAGTTTATGCAGCAGAGAAATAGATCATTCATCGCCTCTGGGAGGATCAGGGATGGGGCTCAAATCTGGTCAGTTTTCTCATCTGTAAAAGGAAGATAATTGTATGTACCTCATTGAGTTGCTTAGCAGAATTAAATTAGGTATTTCAAGAACCCATGCTTAGCATGGTACCCAGCACATAGTAATCACTTAACGTTAACTTCTATTAGAAACAGTAAGTGGTAGTTTATTAGGATTATCATTTTCATCTCCAATCTGCAGGGCTAAAATGCCCTCTACCAGCTGCCAGTGGTTTCTGAACAGTGCAGTATAATTCTCTACTAATTCAGGCCCTCCTACCTCCTTGGGGCTAGAGTTATAGAATATCCAGAGAAGTTTCTCCTTCGAGCCACATTAAAAATCCACATCTAAAGCCGGGCGTTGATGGCGCACGCCTTTAATCCCAGCACTCGGGAGGCAGAGGCAGGCGGATCTTTGTGAGTTCGAGGCCAGCCTGGGCTACCAAGTGAGTTCCAGGAAAGGCGCAAAGCTACACAGAGAAACCCTGTCTCGAAAAACCAAAAAAAAAAAAAAAAAAAAAAAATCCACATCTAAAAAAATGGTTTCTACATCTGTAAAGTGCACTTAGGCATTGATTCTCTTCGGACAGAAAACACTAACAGAAGCCAGGCCTTTAACCTCAGCACTTAAGAGGCAGAGGCAGGTGCGTCTCTGTGGATTCGAGGCCAGCTTGGGCTATATGGTAAGGTCCAGGGCAGCCAGGGCTACATAGTGAGACTCAGTCTCAAAACAAAGCAACAATCGGAAGAGTGTTTGGGGCCTGGGGGACAATGTTTCTTCCCTAGCACGTGGCAAGCTCAGCTTTGATTCCCCAGGAACCCTGGAGTGCAGGCACACGTGTACACACTTGCACACACTTGAATGATTTAGTTAGAACATTCATCAGCTCCAGTTAATAATTCTTTACCACAAATGCTTACTGAATCCCTGCCTGTGTCCCGACTACTGTAGAAAATCCTACACTCCAGAAAGGAGGAAAAGGTAGTGGTGGCTACACTCTGTTCTAAGATTCCTCGCTTCGAAGAATCTGAAGCAAATGGCTCTTCTGCTACTGAATTCATCCACTTTTCCTTTCTCTTACTTGGATTCTCGGGAGCAGGTGGAGCCACTCACACCTGGAAATCTCTCTCTCTCCCGGCCTCAGTCACTAGCCTCCCCTCCCCTGCCTCCACACGCAGCCAGCGTTGCTGGCCAGGCTTCTTTTGATTTTACTTTATAGCGGCACATGATGAAAGGCCTATGGTGGGGCAGAAGTGGACCACGGGCAGACCTCAGCAAACTTTGCTCTTCTGAAGGCCCCAACTCCAACAAGTTTCAGCAAGTTACTGAATTAAACAAAAAAGGCAGACCTCACAGGTGTGGTGGCTCACACCTGTAATCTCAATACTAGGGAGGTTGAGGCAGGAAGATTGCTGTGAACTCAAGTCTGTCAATTCCAGGCCAGCTAGAACTTGTGTGAGATACTGTCTCAAAAAAGACAACAGAGGCTGGATGGGAAGGTGGCTACAAGTTCAAGGCCACCCTAAGCTACATGAGACCTTTTCTCAACAAAACAAAGAAACTAAAAATTGAAATCCAGTCCTACATCCAGACCTTCCAAATTTTCAGATTTAAAATTTCTCACAAAATGTAATATTTTCAGGTCAGCAGCTGGTTGAAATTTCTAAACATTTACAACCAAGTTATTTTATAATCTGTTTCATCTATAAAGTCACTAAGTTATACACAATAGTGTAAGTCACACAAAAGCATTTCCAGAGGTTTATTGTCATTTTTAATGTGTATCTGACTCCAGATTTCAAACCTACCATTTGGCTGCCCTCTGAGGATGCCTCCCACCCCGCCTGCACCTCCATGCAGACACACTTTGGGGGCCTCTTACCCTATAAGCGGCCTCTGCCACCTCCCTGGCTCACAGCCACCTTAGTTCAAAACCCTCCTCACTGCCTTCTGGGGAGCTGCCTCACTGGAATTCCATCCATCCTGCCCCCTTTTATTATACCTACTCTTTATACGACTCCAACCGCTTTATTTTAAGTAATGTACTTGGCCAAAGACCCTCAGAGTCACTAGTAAATTTAAAAGAAACCCACACTCCTTAGCCTAGCAGAGAAACTTGAGTCTCCACTTAGCATTTACACCACCACTCCCCATGGTCCCAGGCCACAAAGAACCACAATTTGCAACACAGAGCACTCTATTGTCCCTAGGCATTTATTCATACTTGCAGGTCCCACCTCCTGAAATACCTAACTCCTCCCATTTGCTTAGGGGAGAAACCTCCGATGCAGAGCCCTCAGGAAAGCCCTGCCTAGACCAGAGGAGAAAACTAGGTTTCCTTCCTCCGGGTTAGCTCATTCCGAATCATTCAGTGTTGTAAATAACAGTCTTCTAAGTCTTCACCACCAGACTAAAGTTCTGTGATGGGGGAGGAGAGGAGAAGGGGCTACCTAGAGCCATAGCTTGGTTGCTTGGTAGAGCGCTCACCAACAGCCCCAGAAGTCCTGGGTTCAATAACCAATAAAGGTTCAATAACCAATAAAGGGCACCTCATAAATAATGGTGCACGCCTAAAATCTCCACTCTGGAGGTTCAGAAGTTCAAGGTCATACTTCCTGCAGGAGACTTTTTTTTTTTTTTTTTCCTCGAGACAGGGTTTCTCGTGTTATAACTGCTGTGGCTGTCCTGGAACTCACTTTGTAGACCTGGCTGGCCTTGAACTCATGGAGATCCACCTGCCTCTGTCTCCAGAGAGTTGGGATAATAGGTCTGTCTTTCTTTTTAAACTGAAACAAGCAAACAGAAAAAAAGTTTTTGTACTGTCAGGCTAGGCTCTGCCACAGCCAGCTGATCTGCTAAAGGAAGAAGCACTGGAGTCAGTGACTCCTGTCACCTCCTCAGGTCACTCCAGAGTCAGCCTACCAATGCCACACACTACCCAGGCCTTCACAGCCACAAAAGGGACTCTAATCTTAAGGACAGTCAGGCATAGAGGATGTCAAGTTCAAATTCACCTCAGTAGTAGAGACTGCAAGGCCCTGGGTTCAATGGTCAGTACCATGGAAAGAAAACACAAATTAAAGGAGCAATCCAAATCACACTGCTTTACCATTCCAAAGTGCAAAGCCTCAGTTTCCATAGCCACACCACAGAACAGCTAAGGTCAGTGCTGCTGCACTGATGAAGACACTCCGACTACTTTTGTTTCTTTGAGACAAAGCCTCACTCAGTTCCAAGCTGGCCTAAACTCACTGCAGCTATGGCTGACATCCAACTCTTGATCGTCCTGCCTCAGCCTCCCAAGTACTAGATTGCAGACGTGCTACCAGTCCCAGCCTGAAGCTAAGATTAATAAAATCAACTTTAGGGGGCTGGAGAGATGGCTCAGTGGTTAGAGCACAGGCTGTTCTTCTAGAGGAACCAGATTCAACTCCCAGCACCCACATGGCAGCTCACAACTGCCTGTAACTCCAAGATCTGACACCCTCACACAAACATACATGCAGGCAAAACACCGATGCACATAAAATAAAAAATAAATAAAAATTTAAAAAAATAAAATAAATTTAAATTTTGTTTATTTTTATTTCTAATCACGAGCGTGTGTGTGTGTGGGGGGGGGGGGGTTTGTGCACCTCAGAGGTGTGTCTGAGCCCCAGGATCTGGAGTTACAGTCATGAGCCATCAAATGCATATATGCTGAGAATAGAGCTTGGACCCTCCAGGAGAGCAGCAGCACTCATAACCACTGAGCCATATCTCCAGCACCGTTTTGATTTTGATGTGTCTATGTGTTGGATGTATGAATGTATGAATGCTTAAGAGTCCAGAAGAGGGTATTAGGTCACCTGGAGCAGACAGTTGTGAGCCACCCAATGTGGGAACCAAACTTGAGTTTTCTGGAAGGGCAACAAATGCTCTTAAGTACTGAGCCATCTCTCCAGCCTGCCTTTCAAAATAATAGTTATTTTTACTAATATTATCATTACTATAAAGGTCTACCCATGGAGCCCTGGAACTCTCTATATAGACCAGGCTGGCCTCAAATGCAGAGATCCACCTGCCTCTGCCTCCCTAGGATTAAAAGTGTGTGCCACCATTGCCTGGCTTAGAATTTATTTTGATTTTGATTAATAAGATTAGCTTTAGGGGCTGCCAAGGTGGCTCAGCAGGTAAAGGCGCTTGCTGCCAATCCTGACAACCTGGGTTCAATCCCTGGGACCCACCTGGTGGAATCAGAAAACTTGACTCCTGCAAGCTGTCCTCTGACCTCACATGCATGGTGTGCCATAAACACACACACACACACACACACACACACACACACACACACACACTACAACGACATAAAAAAAAGATTAATTTTAATTATAAGGTGTCATATCACTAGGATTAAAGACCAATTTGACTCTAAAGCCCCAATTTTTAACCAATACGAAAGTTTTACACAACTTGCTACCTTCAAGGTTTTAAGCTTATGCTGTGTGCACACTCAGACAAAAACAGAAAGGCACGAAAATGTTATCATCCTGAGTGGGATGGACACTTCAAATATAGTATGAGTATGGACTATTTTTAGTAAGGGAAAAAGCAAACAAACAAGATGTTACTTAGATGGTGTTACTAAAGAACACAAGATGGGTTAGAAGAACCATCGAATCCTTATAGCAAGGAATTGTATTCCCCTGTCCTGTTAAAGAAATCAAAGATTAAGGAAAAATAGGATCAGAGCAGAGCTCAACCCAAAGCCTGGTTCCAACCAAGTATGGCTGGATGATGGCATGATACAATGATCTCATGTGGGTTTTCCTGAGAGGGTTGGGGGTGGGGTTAGCAGGGTCATACTATATAACCAGGTTGGCCATGAACTTGAAATCCTCTGGTCCTGGAATATAGGCGTCCACTGCCATCCTGCCTAAGAATTAGTTTTACGTGTAAACCACAGCTGGGATGGTAGCATACATCCCTAAGGCCAGCACTCAGATGCAGGAAGGTCACAGTGAGTCAGTGGCCAGCCCAGTCTAAGCAGTGAGCTCCAGCCTGTGAGACCCTGTCTCCAAAATAAATATAAATAACAAGGTAAATCACACTGTGTGAAAGAGTTAGAACCAAGTGGTCGGTCACCTTAAATCCAGGAAGGAAAAGCAGTAAGCCTAACATTTTAACTTCAGTTTCTCTCAAATCTCAAAATGACCAGGAGCACTGTCTCAAATCGGCCTTTCCACAGGCCCCTGGGAGGCGCTCAGAGCTGATGCAGTGAGAAGCTGTCTCTTGGACCACTTTGAGAACACACTGTATCCACCTTACAGTACATCCAGTGCAGCCTCGGGCCTGTCTCACCTTCACAGGGGACCAGTGTGCAAAGAAGCTGTCTCCAGACACAAATGGCCAGGCTTTCCAGAACCTCAACCCCTGTTCCAAACGGAGATGCCGAGAGCTAACCTGAGAAGACCTCCCCCAAAGGGAAACCAAGGGTTTGGTTGAACTGGCACCGTCAAGTGCTCAGGCTGCACACTGTCCATCTGACTCAAAATTTTCAAACCTCCAAAGTCAGCAGCAATGGGAGCCAGGCTGTGGGCTCGGAAGTCAAGAGCACTCCCTGGCTGCTCTGTCAGAGGACCCAGGGTTCACTCCCAGCACCCAGGTGGTGGTGTACAACCATCTGGGTTCCAGGGGAGCTGACACCCTCTTCTGGCCTCCTCAGGCACAGCACCCACATGGTACGCAGACACACCTGCAGGTCAAACACCCATACACAAACATAAAATAAAATTTTAAAAAGAGCAGCAATATGATTTTCTGCAAAGGAAAAAAAAAAAAACAATGGCGATGAGATACGCAAATTTCTTTATAAAATCTTTTAGAGAAAAGAAAAGTTGATTTTTTTTCAGACATACAAATTAAACATCTACTTTTTAAACAAAACGACTCATAGTGAAAGAGACAGTCCCTTTCAATTTAAAACTATTCAGTATGTTCCCAGGAAGTGTCTTATTAGTTTGAAATGAAATTAACTTTTAAAACATCAAATCTACCATTTCTCCAGGAATAAAATAGCCCATGAGTGGGTTACAAGAGTGAATTAAAATGTTTGGGACAGGATGGGGAAAAAAAACATAAAACTTTCAGTATTTGTACATAATACAGATTTTGAAACGCTAAGAATATGAAGCTGATGATAAGCATTAAACATACTGATCTCATGGGAGAGAGATGGCTCATCAGTTAAGAGTACTGACTGATGCTCCAGAGTTCAATTCCCAGGCTATCTGGTGTCTGATCTCGCCAGGATACACACACACACACACACACACACACACACACACATATGAGTTTGAGTCCAGCCTGGTCTACAGAGTGAGTTCCAAGATAGCCAGGACTACACAGAGAAACCCTGTCTTGAAAAAAAAAAAAAAAAAAAAATTACAAAATAGCAAGATTTCTTTCAACTTTTAAAATATCCTGGGAAAAGGGGACTCAGAATGATTTTTCTTCTACACAGTTTGCTCTGAAAATAAGGGCCACAACAGGAATAATGGTTTTGCTACACACATACATGAAATGCCCTAGTCAATAAGCAATTTCAATTAATCAATAATGATAAAAACAACCATTACAGGTAATTTGCATTCTGATACCAAATCCATACCATCTTCAAATATCAAGACTTTCTTGGGCACAAGTCTAAATGGCTGGTCATCTAACACTGTGAGAAAACAGAGCTCTATTTTAGCCAGACAAAAGCAAAGGATCCTTGGTAAGAATCATGTAAGGAGCCTCAGTGTGAGGCCTCACAGGAGCCAGGGCTGACCAAGTCAGGGATTACCCTCATCGCTCTGCAATTGACAGGCAATTTTTCACCACCACTGCTCTGTGGGCTGAGTGATCAGAACGTGGTCTGCCTGTGCCAGCAATCTCCAGCAAGCAACCAACCAAGCAGGGGACACACACACACGGACACACACACACACACACACACACTGACCCAAGGGGCGGGGGGAGACGAATAAAAGAGGTCAACTGAACTCTTCACTCATGCCCACGATGGGGCTGGAGGTGGCAGGGCCATGTACATTGCAATTTCAACACTAAACGACAACCAGGAGGTGGTCAGCGGTAGCCCAGCCGACCTTCGAAAAGAAGGAAATCTAGATTTGGAAATTTGAGTTTACTACACAAGAGAAAAAAAGTTTCAGAGTTGATGGCACCAAAGCCTGAACCAGAATCGAGTTCGTTTGCAGGGTAGGCCAAAGCCAAAGTCTATGTTCAGCTCACAGACCCCTGAGCTGTAGCCGTCACAACTTTTAAGTTTCCTTCAAACCCCCCTTTTTCTAACTCCAGACAGGCACCTAAGGATATCGCACAAAGCTAAACAGTTAGCATCAGGACAAACCAAGCAATGCTCCTGAAAACTGCAGGTAGGACCTGACTTCAAAAGCCGCCCTGCCCCTCCAGTTCCTTCCTCCCAATTTTGAATTGCTCTGCAACGTCTGCCTGTCAGCCGAGGTGTCGTGTCGTCCCCCCCCC